GTAGTTTCCTGCTTTACCGTAAATCACCCTTCTAGGCATATGATCCCGTGGCCCAGGAGTTTATAATGGTAATAGTCTATATATTTTTTTAAGATTTTTATTTATTTGACAGATCAAGATCATAAGTAGGCAGAGAAGCAGGCAGAGAGAGAGGAGGAAGCAGGCTCCCCGCTGAGCAGAGAGCTGGACCCTGGGCTCATGACCTGAGCTGAAGGCAGAGGCTTTAACCCACTGAGCCACCCAGGCACCCTGGTAATAGTCTATATTTTGAAGACCCAAGTCTACGTCTTTCTTTCAACAGCCCTCAAAGATAAGTTACTTGAGTGGAAGCTTCCTATACTGTTATGGATTGAAGGTTTGTGTCCTCCCTTCAAATTCATATGTTGAAGCCTAACCCCCAATGTGACCGTAATTGGAGATAGGGCTTTTAAAGAAATAATTTAAGGTTAAATGAAGTTATAGCGTAGGGCTCTGATCTGATTAGTATCCTTAGGAGACAGGAGAGAGTTCACCAGCTTTTTATCCACCTCTTGGGACATAGCAGGAAGGTGACCATATGCAAGCCAGAAAGAGAGTCCTTACCAGAAAGTGACCATGACAACACCTTGATCCTGGATTTCCAGCCTCCAGAATTGTGAGAAAACAAATCTTTTGTTTTAGCTCCCTAGTCTATGGAATTTTATTATGGCAGCCTGAGCAGACAAACACACATTCTAATCCCAAGAACGAATCACACAGGATACTGAAAAAGAGAGGCAGCCAAGAGGTCACAGCAATGGGAAGACTGTGTTCTACTCTTGAGCTTGGCCATTCTGACTCTAGAGTATGACAAACCTCTGAAGCCTCCTTTTTCCCTTCTATGAAATGAGAGACTTAAGAAGAACTTTTTCGGGTCCCTTAAAACTTCCTAATTAAAAAAAAAAAAAACTTCCTAATTAAAAGGGTTAGATTACACATTGTGGGCTATGACTCAGGCAATTGCACTGCCAGGATTCTATCCTTAAGAAGTAATTATGGGGGCACCTGGGTGGCTCAGTGGGTTAAAGCCTCTGCCTTCGGCTCAGGTCATGATCTCAGGGTCCTGGGATCGAGTCCCGCATGGGGCTCTCTTCTCAGCAGAGAACCTGCTTCCTCCTCTATCTCTCTCTGCCTGCCTCTCTGCCTACTTGTGATCTCTCTCTGTGAAATAAATAAATAAAATCTTTAAAAAAAAAAAGAATTATGGATAGTCACAAAGATTTAGTTATAAGCATGTTCATGCCAAAACTGCAATCAATAGGAAAAAAAAACCCTAAAAGACAATAAACTCTATAATCTAACTATCCAACAATGATGTTAAATTACAGTAGAACCAGACAATAGAATAAGTGAATATTTATTATGCAAACCTATAGAAACTGCCTTTGTTAATAAACATCAAGGATAGGGACACCTGGGTGGCTCATTCAGTTAAGCATCTGACTCTTGATCTCAGCTCAGGTCTTGATCTCAGGGTTGTGAGTTCAAGCCCTGAACAGGGCTCCATACTGGGCATGGAGCCTACTTTAAAAAAATAATAATAATAAACAGCAAGGATATAGTATTGAGAAACCTTGTTTTTTAAAATCATAGATTGGCAAAAAAATTGTTAGATATCCCCTCAGTGGGGTGCCTGGGTGGCTCGGTCAGTTAAATGTCTGCCTTTGGCTCAGGTCATCATCCTGGGGTCCTAGGATAAAGCCCCATGTGGGGCTCCCTGCTCAGTAGGGAGCCTGCTTCTCTCTCTCCCTCTACCCCTCTCACACTTGTGTTCTTTCTCTCAAATAAATAAAGTCTTAACAAAAGAAAAAAAGAAACCCCTTCAGTAAGCATGGAACATCCTACTCTTATAAGAATCTGAGCCATGCAGATCACTTTTTAAAAACTTCTCTGAACTGCTTTTTTGAGGTGTAGCAATTTAAACTACAATATTTAAAGTATACAACTTGATAAGTTTTCACATACATACATACCCATAAAACCAACACAACAATGAAGATAACGAACCTATCCATAACTCCCTGAAGTTTCCTGGTACCCCTTGGTAATCCCTCCCTCCCATGTCTTGCTCTCACCCCCTTTCCCCAAGTAACTCTAGATTTACTGTCACTATAGTTTGCATTTCCTAGTTTTATATAAATGGAATCATACTGTATGTACTTTTTTTTTTTCTTTTTTGGCCTGGCTACTTTCACTCAGCATAATTATGTTGACATTTGTCTATGTTATTGCATGTGTTTATAATTCATTCCTTTTTCTTTCTGAGTGGTATTCCATTGTATGAGTCACTTTGACACCTAGAAAAAGCAGTCTTTAGTTCCAACCCACATGTTTCAGGTAAGAGTTTTCAGAAACATTTCACACTTACCTTAATCTTGCCATTTCTGAGGAATTAGGGTTCTGCATCTACTTGGGCCAGGCCTGGTAACTCCTTACACAGTGTGCCTGCTTTGCTTAGAGTCTTTCAAAGCATTGCTTCGTTTAAGCTTTACCTACACATCATTCTGCCACAAATTAATAAACGCAACTTTGTGGTACCACAGGTGTGTTCCTGGTTTTAAATGGACTTTATCAATGGACATTAATGTTTATGACCACATTAAGTGCAAAACGGTAAATAGCATATGACCTTATTTCTGTTTTTAAAATATAAATACTTGGGGGGGGCGCTTGGGTGGCTCAGGGGGTTGAGCCTCTGCCTTCCGGCTCAGGTTATGATCTCAGGGTCCTGGCATCTGGCTCTCTGCTCAGTGGGGAGCCTGCTTCCCCCTCTCTCTGCCTGCCTCTCTGCTTACTTGTGATCTCTCTCTGTCAAGTAAATAAAATCTTTAAATAAATAAATATATAAATACTTGGATGATTATATAGTTATATATGAAAAATGGTATTTGTATTATAAATACATTTTACTATACTTTTAAGGTTTTTTAAAAGGCATTTTTAGGGACAGTCAGGGAAAAAAAAGGTGAAATTATTTTACATAATCAATATTTGCTAGGCTGCCCAAGGAACAGACACATTGTGTTACTACTACTGTATCATAGTTTAATTCATAAATCCATAGGTGTTACCCTAGAATGGGCAGTTGAACTTCTTAAGAAAGTAATCATTTTTCCTGTCTCTGGAAACAAAATGTTAAATGTGAGATTAAAAATCTAATTTCTTTTTTTTTTTTTAAGATTTTTTATTTATTTATCTGACAGAGATCACAGGTAGTCAGAGGCGGCAGGCAGAGAGAGAGGAAGGGAAGCAGGCTCCCTGCTGAGCAGAGAGCCTGATTCAGGGCTCCATCCCAGGACCCTGGGATCATGACCCCAGCAGAAGGCAGAGGCCTGAACCCACTGAGCCACCCAGGTGCCCCATAAAAATCTAATTTCATAAATACAAATGGAATTTGGAAACTTTTAGGGCTAAAGAAGATCCTAATGTCATCATCAAGTTTTTGGCCTTGTAACTTACATTGTCTTTAATTATAAGTCTATATAAAGCTTAGCAAGAGTAGTAGTTCGTTTTTACTATTTATTTACAAAACTCCCTTCCACGCACTAATCACAACATGCATTACAACACTCCTGAAAGTAGGTCAAAATACTCCTTAATACATTTTGGGCATTAGGTGCTTATTGATCTTACCCTCTTTTCTAGTCGTTGAGAAAGTCTGTACTACTGACCCTTGGAAAACACTCGTTTCAACTGCCTGGGTCCACCTGGCTGTGACCCGTCGTGGCCTAGGGGAGGCTCGGAGCCTGGGGATCGCACGTAAATTTCTTTCAGTAAACACGGTACAGTACCCTAAATGTATTTTCCTTAAGATTTTTTAAAACATTTTTTTCTCTAGTTTACAGTAAGAATATAATACACAATACATATACAAAAATATGTTAGATGACTGTTCTTGTTCTTGGTAAGACTTCCAGTCAACAATAGACTATTAAAGTTTTGAGGAAGTCAAAATTTACATTCCACTGTCCAGGAGACAGTGCCCCTATAACCTGAGTTATTCAAGAGTCAACAGTATTTAGTCCACTTAAGACACTTGTTTACACGCTAATTATTATTTAATGATTAAACAGCTTCCTTACAGCAACGTGGAAAGAAACCCTAAGGCACCCTGCAAACATCACCTTTGTAATCAAAATCCGAAAGGGCAATTCATTTCTTCCTAACTCTACCCAGAAATGGTCAACACAGATTCTAAAAATAGAATTTTTTCAAACTCCTTTTGTGGTCTTGAATGAAAGCTTAAAATAAAACAAGGACGCGTAAACACAGTCCAATGTGCTTCTCTTGTTATTTCTCATTAAAGCTACAAATTAGTAGGAAAATAGTGCCGCCCACGGGCTTCCCAAGTTTTGAATTCTGGGGAACACCCCGAGCAGGAGTGAATGAGCGAAATTGATGCGAACCGCCCCAGCCAGGCCAGCGAATGATAGGCACACGGTATGCTGGTTGGCCCTGAAGAGAAAAAGCCAGTTTGTGAATGAAACCTGGGGCTTGGAAGAGGAACGTCCGGCTTCATACTCGGTTAAGCCCACTCTGGAAGAACCTAGCCGTGTGACCCAGGGAGAAAATGCTAACTTCACCTACACCACTCCCAGAAAAAGAATGGAGAAAACCTACACCTACTAGGCGACTTTGACCTAAACACCCGCCCGACCGCTTTTACACTCTTCACCCTCTCCCCTCTCCCCTCCACCCCCGACTTCCTCGAAAGCCCCTCCCCTGGACTCAGCCAAAGCGCCACGTCTCCTAACGCCGAGGCACTAGCTACCCCGCGGAGGCTTCCTGCAGTTAACCCCTCCCAGACTCCCGCCCCAGGCCTGCGATCCCCAGGCTCCGAGCCTCTCCTAGGCCACGACGGGTCACAGCCAACTGCAGGAGCCGCGCCCTCGACCCAACGGCTCCCGCCCCGCCGCGCCCCGCCCGGGCCCACGTGACACCCACGTCCCGCCCATGGCGCCCACGTGACCCGCGGCCATCCCCGCGCGCGGCGTGGATCGCGGCCGGAGCCGCCATTGTTCCGCCGAGGGACGACAGCGGGGCCTGGCACTGGCGCCGAGACGCCGCTTAGCGGCCGCCACTGGAGACACTCCTTCCCGCCGCCCCCCTCCTCTTGGCGGCGGCGGAGCGAGGCTGTCTAGGGGGACCTGGGAGCCCCCTCTCCTGGCGGCGGCAGCTGCCGCTCCCCGGCTCCGGCGCGAGGGGCGGCCGCGATGCGCTCAGCCTGAGGCAGTCCGGCCCGGCCCTTCTTCGCCTCCCCTGACTCTTGTACAGCGTCCGTGCGCCCCGGCGTCATCCTGCGAGTCTCGTTGACGGAGGGAAGATGGCTGCACAGAGCTGGCAGGACGAGCTGGCCCGGCAGGCCGAGGAAGGCTCGGCTCGGCTGCGGGAAATGCTTTCGGTTGGCCTAGGCTTTCTGCGCACCGAGCTGGGCCTCGACCTGGGGCTGGAGCCGAAGCGGTACCCGGGTTGGGTGATTCTGGTGGGCACCGGCGCGCTGGGGCTGCTGCTACTTGTCCTGCTCTGCTACGGCTGGGCCGCGGCTTGCGCTGGCGCCCGGAAAAAGCGGAGGAGCCCGCCCCGCAGGCGGGAGGAGGCGGCGGCAGTGCCGGCCTCGGCCCCTGACGATCTAGCCCTGCTGAAGAATCTCAGGAGCGAGGAGCAGAAGAAGAAGAACCGGAAGAAATTGCCCGAGAAGCCCAAAGTGAGTAGGGGTGGAGCGGCGGTACACTAGGGGCCAGGGGCCGGCGTGGAAAGCCTGGAGAGAGCGGGAGGCCGACCCCGGCCGAGCCCCAGCCGCCCCAGCCGCCCCAGCCGGGAGTGGAAAAGGAGAGAGTGAGGTTAGTCCAGAGGTGGGACTCTGATCTCTCTAGCTAGAGGAGGTGATCGGTGGACACGTTACTGGGGAATCGTGGAGACTGGGGAAGTGTAGGACGGGTGGGGAAGACCAGCTTCGAGGAAGGAAGTTAGACGGCGTGGGGTACGTTTAAAATTGAAGCGCCCAGAGGTCAAGCAGCTTTCGGGGACCTGGACCGCCGGAATTACATACCAGCCCTTCTCGAGGCCTACCGGGTAGGCTGCGTGTGTGGAGAGTAATGGGACCTTAAGGTGGTGTTGGGAAGTTGTGGAAAGACTGCGCCTGGAAGACAGCGTCAAGTCACATGGAGACGGTAGCCAGTGGAGGAAATACGATGACCTAAAAAATCTGGGGCTTACGGAGGATTAAAAGTATCCAGGTCTAGACGCGCTTCCATTTTAGTTAGACTGTTTAAGGGAAATGGTTGCCCACTCCTGTTCTTGTGAATGTGGCCGATGGAGGCAAGGCAGGGGGGAGTCGGTTGCCGTATATACTTTGGGGTACATGGCCCCATGAGAGAGAGCTCAGGCACATTCAGCGGTGTGAAACCGCATTCAGGTTTTGAAATAGAGTAAAAGGGGATGACAGAGCAGAATGATGCAGTCTGAAAGAGAGATTTAGGCACCCATTTACCGGACCACGTGTGGAAATGAGAGCATCACATCTATTTTATCATACCTTTCTCTTTTTTTTTTTTTTTAAATTGCCGTTTCCCCATGATAATCTTTTATAGTTTTGTTTTTTTAAAACATAGTTGAGCAGAGTTTGGAGGGTGTGCAGAATTAGAAACCGCTCTTAGCCCATTTTTATATACACTGAATTAAGTTCTTTGCCTTTCAGTACAATAAATGTAACCAAGGCCATACTTTGTGAAATGCACTGTAGTCTGTGTTGGGGAGTGGAAGGTACCCACACAGGAGTTGGAATCAATCCTGGAGACTAGTGTAGGAGACGGATTCATGACTTATGAAAGTCATGCCTGTAGTACATAGACAGGTGCTGTAGGAGCTCAAGTGGTGTTAATGAGGTCTGGAATGTGGGAGACCAGTTCTGTTGAAGGGATTGGAAGAAGTGGGATTTGAGTTCAAACTAAAGCAGTGTGAGAGTATTGTTGGTACCAGTACAAAGAATAAGTCAGTATTGGAGAAGTGACAGGTCATAGTGCATTATTAGACTTAGGTAAATGATCACATTTTGTCTGCTGATTAAGAGGATGTAAGATACATACAAAATCTGGGCAAGGTACAACTTTGTCAGTATGAAGTCTGCCTTAAGTTAGAAGAGGAAATAGAACTGAGGAACATATGTAATTAAATTTGTTGAGCACATCAAAGGTTACCAGAAAGTAATGTATGGTGGACACAGAGAACTTGGCTCCAAAATAAGCAAAGAAGGTGATCTTGAAAAAACCGCATATGTTAGGAAGCCTAAACCCTGTGTGGATGAAGCAGGTTGTGAACATTGCAAAGCCCTGTTTGGGATGTCTAGAATTTCAGATAGACTTGAGTGCAGAGACAGGTGCCCCGGGATCCCATCCGAAGTGCATCATAACATTCAGATGACCTGTCTGAAGAAGGAACAGGCTTCTGTGAAACTTGTCCTTGAAAAAGACTCATTAAACTTAGGACTTAATGCTTCTCTTTTTCATTTTAGTTAAGGAATGTGGAGTGAGTGAATAAATAAATCTAGTATTAATCTTTGGGGAGTGGAGAATGGGACAACTGATCAAATGGTTGGATGTTAATTGGGTGAGAAAATATCTTTGCCTACTTCATGGTATAGAGGTGTTGGAGAAGCTTGTCAACATTAACAAAATTCTAGTTTTCAAACTTTTTTCGACTGTAGCTTACAGTAAGAAACACATTTTACATTGTAGTACCTGTCTCCACCCTCCCCCTACACACATACCAAACCATTCTGTTTTTCTTTAATGATATTTGTGACCCATCGTATTGGCTTCACATTTCATTGCAAGGTATGACCCACAGAAAATTACTGCTCTAAGGGATTGAAAAGTGAAAGTATCCATTTGTGCAGTACTCAAATGCTTTGCACTGTGCTAAGTATTTACTTGGAGAAAAGCGGCATACTGCTTGCAAATCGAAGGCAGTAAAAAGGAATACAATATTCATATGTCTCATTGTGAAGGGGATACAAAAGTAAAAGCTCAGTTACTCCCCAGGGAGCTTTTTAGTCCAGTTGTGGAAAAAGATACACTAAAAAATTAAAAAAAAAGAAAGAAAAAATTAACAGTGCAGACCCATTATGGGCCCAGGATGCTGTGAAAGGATTTATCATATAATCTGGCTTTGAATGTGAGTAGGAGCAAGGTAGTGGAAGAGTAAAAGGCCCATTAGAGGAAGACTTAACTGTCAGCCTGGCAGGAATGGGGACTAAACTTAAGGCATTTAACCTTGCTCTGTTTAGCTTGTCTTGTGTATAAATTGAGAATCTTGAGTTAAAATTCTGCAGAATTCCTCAAAATGTTATCTCTGACTACTTGCAATAGAGTTACTTAGAATGTTTATTAAAATTTATGGATTCCTGAGCACCAGAACAGATCTTAATCAATTCAAGATCTCTGGAACTGAGTCCAAGGAATCTGCATTTTTAACGCGTTGCCTTGGTAAAATCCTTGCTGTTAGTTTAAAAATCACTCATTGGTGTAGAATCATAAGATCCACAGAGTAGGAGAGGTTTCTAAATGGAATCGTGTTTAATCTTATAATCCGTCTCTTCATTACTACATCATTCTGATACACACTTTAGGATATACCTTACTCTGATCCAACTAAACTACTGTGGGTTTGTGAAAGGATATTACATATTTACTTAAATATTTTATGTTCATCATTTTATCCCATTATTTTTAGTTCTCTCTGAAGCCATTCCAAATTTTGCAAGTCCCCAAGTTTTTAAAATTTGTTTCTAATAACTTATTTTCATCTGTAGAATAGGTGTTATTTAGCTCTTTAATATCTCCAATAAGGACTTTCTGACATTTTTATATCACTTTGGTTTTTGTCCCCTAATAATGTCCTGGCAAAGGTTTTTTAAGGTATGAATGCAGTTTATTGCCCTATTTAAAGTGGAGGGAGTGGCACTTTTCTCTGGACTTATTTCTTGAGATTTTTGGAAATTATTGTTATGTATATTCCATGACATGTAGTACAATGTGAGTATTAAATAGGCACTCAGTAAATGTTTTTAACTTGACTTATTCTGAGCAGTGCTTTAGATAGATGTGAGATCTCAGATAACTGGTCTTTAACAATCATTGTTTTGAATTTCAGCTGGAAGCCTATAAGCCAGGATCAACTTCAATAAAAATTCATTTCAGTGAAAAGGTTATTTTTATATTAGCGTAGGATTTCTCATAAAGATTTGCCGTAGTGCAGTCGTTGATATCAGTAAGCTCAGTGAATAGTGTTTTGTCTTGTTTGCTGCTGTATAACCTTGCATGGTGCTTGACACTCAATAAATAATTACGGAATGCATGAAGTAGTAAGATGTCCTGCCAGTGTATTTATACAACTCATTCCCATTCTTTATGCCTGGTAAACAGCCATCTGAGCCATCTTTTTATTTTTACAGTGGTTGATGGCTGTGTTTGCTTCTTCAGACTGAAATTTTGTGAAGTCCATCATTCTACAGCCAATAAATCATTCTAATAGTATGCCGTGTCTTTTGTAGTTCTTACTTCTGTTCCAGTTTCATTGCCATTGCCCTACTTTTGGACTTCATTACCTTTTGCTTCGACTATACTAACAGCATCCTAACTGGTTTTCCTGCTTCCTGTCTCTTTGTTGCCTTTCCTTTCTACCCACTCCTGCTAGTTAAATCTTGTAAAGCCTAGCTCTGATCATGACTTTCATGTTCCCACCTTGTCAGTTGTTTCCCCATCACATGTTGAGTAAAATCCAGTCTATGACGTGGCCATGAAGTAACCCCATCTTAGATTTATCTCTTAACCATTATCCCAAATGCATTACCATTAGCTAGACTGCAGTATCTCTTTATTCATACTATTTTGTTCCATTAGAAAGTCTTTCTTTCTGTATCTGTACCATTTCAGCTATCCTTCAAGGAAGGCCCAGCTGTGGTTCTCTCTCCACTATAAAGCCTTCTCTAGCTCCCCAGGTAGAGTTAATCTCTTTTTTATATTTCTATTTTGTATTTTATTATGATATCTAAAGACCACAGAGCATTGCCTAGGAATGTACCTGTAGGGCAACTGAGAATTTTTTCCCAGCTCTGTGCAACGTCCATGAGTGATCAGGGAAGCAAAATTGATTTTGGGATTAGAAATTAATTTTAGTGAGTAGGTGAACTTGCCAATATGGAATCCCTGAATAATGGGGATCAACTTTGTACTAGTCTGTATCTGTAATTGGACCCTTCCTTTTACCTCCTCATATCTAGGTGTCTGCTTGACTTCTCCAGTTGGAAATCTGGCATTTGTCTCAAATTTTAACATCCAAAAGAATTCATGATTCCTTGCTTTCTCCCGGTCTTCCCCATTTCTATAAATGGTAAATCTCTGCCACCCATTCAGTTATTCAAGTCCCAAATCTAAGAATCATTCTTGATTCTTCCCTTTCTCTCACCTTGAATCTTCCCTACTTTATGTCTAATCTTTGAGCAAATACCATCCACTTTATCTCCTAAGATGTGTATTCAGTCTGACTACTCTCAGTTCTGTTGTCTGGCTCCTTAGCTCACTTTTGTAGCAGTAGCTTCCGCAGGCTGCCTCCAGTCCTACAGCCAGCACTTATCTAAAACCAGCACTTCAGGGGCTTTTGCATTTTAAACCTCAACTTCTTTCATATGTGGCCCAGCACCTGCGT